TATCTCTGACTTATTTCACTGAACATAATACCCTCTAGCTCCATATATGTTGAGAAAGGCATGTGCTGATTTTTTTGATTGCCAAATAGTATTTTATTGTGTATATACCACATCCTCTGAATCCAGTCATCTATTTTTGAGCATTTGGGTTGTCTCCACATCTTACCTATCATAAATAGTACTGAAATAAACATAGGGACAGGCATCCTTTTGAATTAATGCTTTTGTATCTTTGGGTAAATTCCTAGGAGTGGAATTGCTGGGTCATATGGCAGCTCCATTTTAGTAGTTTGAGTAAACTCCACACAGTTTTCCATAATGGTTGGACCAGTTTATATTCCCATCAGCCGTGTAGGAGAGTTCCTTTTTCTCCACATCCTTGTGAACATTGTTGTTGCCTGTTTTTTTTTTTTAATATTTATTTAATTATTATATATATATTTAGAGATTTATTTATTCATTTACACAAGAACCGGGGTACAGGCCAGATCCATGGGAGGGTGAGAGGATTCACCAGACACAGAGGGGAACAGAACAGACAGACTGATGAAATACACTGCTGAGGGGAGCAGTGGCGTGACAGGAGAGGTCTGCTGCACCAGGTGGGATCCTACCAGCTGGGATTGAACCGGTGCTGCAGAGGCTACAGATATCTTCACAGCGTGGCACTCGAAGCCTGAGCCACCAGGGAAGACCCTATTTTATATATTTTTTACATCATTTTTTCATTTTTGCACAATGTATGCATTTTCTTTCATCTTGGTTATATTCCCCATACAATTCCCACCCCCTTATGTTTTCTAGTTTTCTTAATATGTTCCATTCTTATTGGTGTAAGGCGGTATCTCATTGTGGTTTTGATTTGCATTTCCCTGATTTAAGCGATATAGAACATTTTTTCATACACCTGTTGGCCATTTGCATTTCCTCTTTGGAGATGTCTTTTTAGCTCTTCTTCCCATTTTTTGACTGGATTGTATTTTTGTTGAGTCCTGTGAGCTCTTTGTACATCTTTGTGATCAGTCTCTTACCAGTTATATTGTGTGCAAAAATTTCTCCCAATCAGAAGGGTCTCTCTGCTTGGTTAATATCTCTTTTGCTGTGCAAAAAGCTTTAGTTGATGTAATCCCAGCTGTTTATCTTTTCCTTCACTTTCTTTGCTTTTGGCATTGTGTCTTTAAAGATTTACGGATATTTATATCATGCAGTGTTTCACTTATATTTTCTTCTGTATATTTTATGGTTTCAGGTCTTATGTTGAATTCTTTTATCCATTTTCATTTGGTTTTTGAGCATGGTATGAGGTAGTAGTCTAGCTTCATTTTGCATGTAGTAGTTCAGTTTTCCCAGCACCATTTATTGAACTGAACAAACTGTCCTTATTCCATTGCCTATACTTTGCTCCTTTGTCAAAGATTAGTTGTCCATAAATATGTGGGTTTATTTCTGGGTTTTCTGTTCAATGACATTGGTCTGTGTGTTCGTTTGTTGTTCAGTATCATAGTGTTTTAATTATTATGGCTTTATAGTACAGTTTGAAGTGTGGGAGTGTGATGCCTCCATTCTCCTTCTTCTTAGTCAGAAGAGCTTGGCTATTTGCAGAAACCTTGCTACTGTTTCCATCAAAACCAAACCAGTCTACATTCCCATAAACAATGTAGGACTGTTCTATTCGCTATGTCCTCGCGCAGCACTTGTTAATGTCTGGTCTTTCTGATATAGTCCATTCTCACAGACATGAAGTGGTTTTGTTATGGCAATTTCCCAGAGAAATCAGACAGCACTCAGAAAGGTGGAGAGATTTAATGTCACACCAGCGGGCTCAGTGGATCGCTCCCCAAGGGCTGAGCACCCAAGAACAAGAATGGCAGGGTTTTATACAGTTTGTATGAGAAACTTGCTATCCCATTCATCACAGCATAAGCATTCTTCATTGTTTGGGAAGGGGTTCAAGGAGTCACGGCTACCATGATGGACAAGCAGTGCAGTACACCCAGCAATTCTTCGCTTCAGCAAGCAGCAGAATCAAAGCGGTAGACTCCCCCAAGCAGCAGCCTTGGGAAGCTTTCTGCTTCATTTCCCTCTTTTGATACCCTGCTATGTGCTGGCAGTATCAAGGTCTGGGACTCAGAGCAAGCAGCAGGAAAGAGCCTAAGGGTGCATATTGTCTAGTTAACATGTGGAGTTTAGTAGCCTCCAAATGGGACTGGATAAAACATGTGGCCAGATTAAAGACATGGCTAAGGGTGAGCATCACAAGAATGGAGACCAGTGGACCCAGGACAGGAGTGAGCCAAGGCACAGTGTGGTGATGCTGTCCCACCAAAAGAGACAAGAGAAGCAGCCACCACTGGGTCCAGCCCAGCAAGCCACAAGCATTCCCTTGATGCTCCTCCGGACTCCACCATGCGCAGGCCAACCTGCTTCTGGGCTTTTGTTGGAGCAGGGCTGCAGCAGGTCACGGTGTTTGGTCGGAGTCTCTCTGCAGGGTCAGTCTGAGCGGGTGTGCAGCATCGGGCAGGCTGAACACTGTTCTGATGTCTCGGGCGAGCTGGCGTATCTGGGGAGTGTCGTTCCCTCGGGAGTAACACCTGCAACTTTGACAGCAGTAGGGTCATAAGGGTGACAGTACAGGGTCCCACCCAGACAGGTTTGAGTAGTTCTTTTTCCAGTCCTTTACCCAGACTTGGTCCCAGGTTTGTGGGGATGAACTGGGGATCCCAGAGGAACGGGGCCCTCTGATGACAGTTTCATGAATCCTGTGTAGGACATTACTAAGGAGCTGCAGCTTCCGATTTAGTCCCAGTTGGCCAGTGTGTCTGAGGTGTCCCCTCACCACAGACACAACAGGGAGGCGACCAAACAAAATTCTCAAAGGGGGTGTAGCCACTGGCACCAGGAGTGCACCGAATTCTGAGCAGCACTAAGGGGAGAAGGTCCACCCAGGGCAAACCTGTGTCCTGGCAAAACTTTCCCAGAGTCTTTTTAATGGTTCGGGTGACACGTGCTACTTTCTCTGAACTCTCTGGCCGGTAGGCGGGAAGATTCCATGTAATGTGAAGTAAGCGAGTCAGGTGAGTGGTGATTTCAGCAGCAAAGGCTGGGCCAGTATCACTGCCAGTAGTCACGGGGACCCCATATCTAGGAATTACTTCTCTTACAGAGCTTTACTGACTTCTCGGTCCTCTCTGTTCTGAAGGGGACGCTCTCCCCACCCGGAGAAGGGGCAGATCAGAACAAGCAAATATCTGTAGCCTCTGCAAGGCTTGATTTTTGTGAAGTCCACTTAGGGGTCCTTAAAAGGGAAGGAACCTGTGTGCTGTACACAAATCTGGCACCTGAAGAAGCAAACTGAAGGGACAAATGTTTATCCATCTGGCAGGAGCATCACTCCTCTAGTGTTTTCGCTTTTATTTTCTTTTTATTTGATATTTTATTTATTTTTTAATTATTATTCTAAATTATTTATTTTTTACATCATTGTTTCATTTTTTAAACAATATTTGCTTCCCCACTCCAGGTGTAGTCCCCATAGAATTTCCTTCCCCAGTGCACCAGTGCACCATCACTTCACTCCCCTGTGCTCCTCCTTCACTCTCTCCTCTGATCCCTCTTCCTGCTCCTCCCCTGCAGGATGTCTCTGGTTTATAATTGTCTGTTTTTCTTTTGTTGTGTTTTGTATTGTTATTATGTTTTATACTGATGTCTTATTTGGTTTCCCTATATTTCTGTTAGAAGTGAAACCATCTGATATTTTTCTTTTTCCTTCTGGCTTATTGCACTGAGCATAATTCCTTCTAGCTCCATCCATATGCCTGCAAATGGCATGAGTTTATCTTTTTTTGATTGCTGAGTAATATTAAAATGGCACATATAAAAATCTAGCAACAACAAATGTGGCGAGGATGTGGTGAAAAACAACCTTTCCTACATTGCTAGCGTGAGGGCAAACTGGTCCAACCATTATGGAAAACTGTGTGGAGGTCCCTCAGCCTACTAAAAGGGAACTTCCATATGACACAGCAATTCCACTCCTAGGGATCTACCCAAAGGACACAGAAACACAGATTCAAAAGAATACCTTTACCCCTATGTTTATTGCAACACTATTTATAATAGGTAAAATGAAGAAACAACCCAAATGCCCAAAAACAGATGACTGGAAGAAGAAGATGTTGCACATACATACAGTGGAATACTACTCAGTGATAAAAAAACATAAACTCAGGCCATTTGGGAACTATGGAAGGGGCAGGAAGAATACTAAGCTTGATAAGTCAGAAGAAAAAATAACTATCAGATGGTTTCCCTTATATGTGGGATATACAGAAATCAAACAGAGGGTCAGAATAAAGACAAAACTTGCAGCCTGATCCTAGATCTGAGGCATACAGTAGGGAAAGTGAGAGAGATGGTTCCAAACAGGGGAGGGAAGAGCACAAGGGACTGTAGTGATGGATCATGGGTGCTATGGTGGGGAGAGAACAATAAGGACTACACCTGAGAGAGAAATCAAATATAGCATAAAAATTAACAATGATGTAAAAAACAAATAAACATTTTAATAAAAAAATTATATCAATCACTGACAGCTAGAAAACAAATAAAATTAAGTAAAGCAGAGGATCCTGAAGTTACAAAACGGTGAGAGAAATCCTATAACATTCAGTCCACACAAGGCAGAGCTCTCATTCTATGACAGAAAACAGTATTGAAGAAATTCGGGTGAGTTACATTAAGTGATAACATTTTCAATAGTCTACTGAATCCTAAGACTGTCCCACTCACAGCTGCCCACAACCTGGCCCCATCCTCTGCTGTGTCCCAGGGGTGAGAGACATCCCAGAGTCCTGGGGACTGTTGCTGCCTGAGGAAGCACAGAAGAGACCAGGTCAGAGCCCATAGATGAGACCCTCAGAGGAACTGATGAGGGTGACTCTCCTAGAGTTCCCTCTACACTGTCCTCAGGGACTCAGGATCCAACCCTGATCCACACTTACTGCACCCTGATTGTAGCTGACTGCATGTCCCCCTGTGGAAGAAACATCATGTGAGACAAGGGAGGAGTCAGGTGACAAGTCCTAAAGGAATCTCCAAGTCTGGATCACAGGGAAGTTTCTAGAACTGTGACTGAAAACCCGGGTCAGAAATGGAATATATATCAAGAATGAATATGAAAGGGAATAGGAGTCTTGCCACAGCAGGGTCCTTCCCCTATGACATTTCCTGGGAAACAATCCCCATCACCACAGTTATAAGGTGAACAATTGGTGATTCATTTCATAAATGATTTACGAAGAGTAAGTGTTTGCAATGAGCTCCAGACTGGGCAAACACGTGTGTGGATCATACTCCCTAGTAACCAGGAAGGGCAAGTTCTCCTTGACAAGAAAGCCCCAGTGGTCATGAACCCCGCCCCCTCTTCCCTACCTGAGCACTTCTTCTTCCACATCACAGCTGCAGCCACCGTAGCTCCAGTGAGCACAGCTCCAAGGAGAACCAGGCCAGCAATGATGCCCACAGTGGGATGGAGGACTGAGGAGGGGGTACTGGAAGGGACGGGAAGGGGAGACCCTGAGAACCCAGGCCTCCACCTGATGCTTTGAAGGTCTCCAAAAGGGCTCCTGATCCCCTGAGAAGAAGCTCAGTGCCCACATCTCCCTCCTTACCCCGAGTCAGGACTCGGGGCTCCAGCAGCCCCTCATGCTGCACATGGCACGTGTATCTCTGCTCCTCCCCAGAAGGCACTCCACAGCCACCCACTTCTGGAAGGTTCCTTCCCCCAAGGCTGGTATCCACCAGCTCTGTGTCCTGGGTCAGGTCCTCCCCATCTCACTGCCAGGTCAGGGTGATGGCCGCAGGGTAGAAGCCCAGGGTCCAGCACCTCAGGGTGACCTTATTGTCAAAGGTGAGGTGGTAGGTCATGTGTGTTTTGTGAGGAGTTGAGGAGAAGGGTCAATAAATTCACACTTTGGGTTTTTCCCTCCTGGACACTGAAGCGCCTCACCGACCATCCTCAGAATGGACATGACAATTGGTTTGAGGGAGGAAGAACAAAACCCAGAAACCAGCCTAGTCTGGGGAATCTGGGATAATCAGATGAGAGCCCGGGGCAGGAGGATGCAGGTCTCTGAGGAGAACACAGACTTTTGCTCCTGACCTGGGTGGAGGGTGAATGACACAGAAAGGCAGGAGTCAGATCCAGAAATGTTCTCAGACCAAAAACAAGACTTTGAAAGTGAAACTCATGGTTCTCAGGATGGCTGCCGGGTCACAAGGACCCAGGGAGAGTTATTTCAGGATGGCCTCCCTCCCTCAGGAGAGACTGGATTCCTTAACTGTCTAGAAAAGTGGTCTTCTGGGCGAGTCTCTCTCTAGCACAGAACATGAAACCCAGGGGACTCTCCCTCTCTGCCCAGAAAGCAGCTGCTGTTCTGCCCATTATTCCACATTCCCTGTGGGGCCCCAGGAGAGGGGAGGTCTTGACAAGCTCGGCCCTCCCCTGCGCCTCCCACTCGCGCTGGGTGATCTGAGCCACCGAGTCCGCGGGGGTCCAGGAGCGCAGGTCCTCGCTCAGGGAGATGCAATCTGCGCTGTCGTAGGCGAACTGGTCATACCCGCCGAATAGGCTCAGGTCTGTCCCCACTTCACAGCCACACATGCTCTGGAGGGTGTGAACCCTGACATCCACCCCTGTGGTCAGCCCTGAGCTCATTGCTTGGTGACCCCGCCCTCTCACCCTGAATAACCTAAACTGAAATGAAAGGGCCGGCAGGACAGTCCCTTCCCGGGGAGGGTCCTGGCAGACCCACCAGCCTCCAGGGGTCAGTGGACCCTGAGACCCGGGACACCCGGCCTTAGGTGGGAATGGGGGTGACCTGACCCTGGCCCCGCTCTGCGAAGCTCACCGTCCTCGCTCTGGTTGTAGCGGCCCCGCAGGTCCCTCAGGAGCGCTTGGAACCACTGTGCACTGTTCCTTTGGATCCGAGTCTCCTCGTCCAGGTCCTCCTGCCCCACCTGCTCCGCCCAGGGCGCCTGCGGCTCCATCCTCTGGCCCGAGAGTCGCTGTCGAACCGCAGGAACTGCGTGTGGTCCATGCAGCCCACAGCGATGAAGCGGGGCTCCCCGAGGCTGGGCCGGGACATCATGGTGGAGAACACCTCAGGGAGTGGAGCCTGGGGCGGGGAGGGAGACCCGGGCTGACCCTCCTCTCAGCAAGGGCCCAGGGCCCAGGGAGATGGGCCTGGAGGGAGAAAGGGGCGGGCCGTGAGTGAAAAGGGGGGTGGGCCAAGAAGGGCCCAGACTCAGGGACCAGAGCACTCAGGGGAGGCGGGAGGGACAGAAGGGACCAGAACACAATGGACCTGAAAGGGTACAAGAGGTTGGGGAGATGAGTCTTTCCTGGGGTCCTGCACCCACCGGGAGCTCCTTGCTCCTCCCTCCTGGAGCAACAGTGTCCAGCTGGACACGCACTCACCCACCGGGGTCTCCATCAGGGCCAGGGGCCCACAGAGCAGCAGCAGGAGGGTGAGGGGCATCACACCTTGCCGGGGACCAGCCTCCGGCAAAATGCCATGTCAGGGGTTCCTGAAAGGATGAGACGGTGTAGGCGAAAACGGAAGGGCTGAGGGGAAGGGAATGAGGTAAAATAAGGAGACACTGACACTGGATGAGGTATTAGTATCTTCTACTGAGGGGCTCAGCAGGTTTTTTATTTATACATTTTTTGCAAGCAGTGAGATTACATTATCATGTGCATAAAAACAAAACAGAAACAATTAATGCATCCTTTTTTCCATAGACTTTTGGCCACTGCGTGCTCTCAGCAAGAAGGCAACCTTCAACCTTCAAGGTTAATAGAAAACTAAGCCTTACACTAGAACTCATTGTTTCAGCTAAACAATAACCTAAGACAGTTGATAGCCGCCAGTGCATCCCAGTCAGCCAAAGCCTAAGCAAGAAAAGACTCCTCGTATTTGCATGGCCTTCAGCTGGGGACCCGCTGCTACTCAGTTATCAGAACTTTTTCTACCTAAAAACTCCTAACTCAAATAGCTTCATTTAAAAACTTTCCCAAGAAATTAAAAAAAAAAAAAGGCAAAAGAAAGACCCACTACAACTGTTGTGCTGGATTTCTTGTCAGGCATGCACAACAAACCGCCTCCCATTGCCAAGTGGGCCAAACTGTCCAACAGCTAATTTATAAACAAAAAATTTTCCATGCTATTTACTTACAGTATGCTGATACATATAATTTATTGCCTAATATACTTTCTGATAAATTTTTCCCTTTTCATGACCGAGAACAAAAAATAAAGGTATGTTAAATCTTCGGCCCCATGGTATGAGGCCCTTTAGCTTTGCTGCTTGCCATTTTCTTATCTGGCTGTGGCATCAAGGCCTCCTGAAGCAACACCCCATCCAGGGGCCTGGGGAGAATGATCCAGGAGAGTCCTTTGGAGACTGTAACTGGAGCAGGATGATGCTGATTGTCTTCCCTGGACACCCCCAGGAAATGGGGAGAGAGAATGGGGGTGAGTGTGGGGTCATCAAGGCTGCCACCCCACAGAGCCTGTGGGAGGGAGACATGATGCTGTAACAGTGTGACAGCCACAGAAAGGGGAGGTTCAAATTCCCTTCCCCACCTTAGGGAGGAGTGGATTTGGGCTGGGAGAAGCAGCAGCCTGGAGGAATGAAGAAGCTAGCAGTATTTTTCAGATAATTGTGAATATCCATTTGATACTGAATTAAAATTATACAGGTGGTGGTTTCTCAAAGGTTATTTGCAAAATGAAACCTGAAATAGTTTGAAAATTAGTGGTCTTACCCCAAATTAGGGTTATTACCAGAAACGAGCATTGTACCTAAGAAACCTACCTATATGACAGGGCAAATGTAATTGTAGAACATCTGGTCTTCATCATATGAGCAACCCTGTCCTTGCCATGTGACCCCTCCTCTCTCCTGGAGGTCTCAGGCCCCATCTCACTTCTTAGCTCAGGAGACACACCCCTGTTTCCGGCATGGATTTCAGACACTGGTTTAGATGTAGATTCCAATGCAATTATAGGTAAACTTGTTTATTTTCTAGTACTGAAAAAAAGAAAAAAATGTTTTATAAATTTCATGTGCTTGGAATATAAGTTCCTGAAAATTATTCACTTCAGCTGTTCGTGGTCTCAGGGGTTACTGTCCACGTCCCTCCTCTAGTGGGCAAAGGACACTAGTGGACAAAGGGGAGACAACGATGATGGACACAGAGAACAGGACACAGGAAAATCAGGCACAGAGGAGCAGGGACAGGAGAGAGCCAAGGTGAGGTGAGGTTTCCAGTCCTTCAGCTCTGCCCAGGTGAGCAGGCCCAGGCCCCGGAGGCAGGACTGAAGTTATGGACAGCGGTCGGGCCCAGGATGAAGCAGGCAGAATAGCTGGTGTGTGTGATATGTCCATGGAGATTCTGAGCCTGGGAGGTTTGGGTGTGATTAAGTTTAAGCAAAACAGGAACTAAGCTCATGAGGGAACAAGATAATTATAACTGCAGAGAAGAAAATTTTCTGTTTACTCACTGCCCAGCTGTGACTGGCTCACAAGGTCATAACTATGCAAACCCTGGATCCTGATGTGCATCTCAACAACCTGCCAGAGGGGCCTCAGGAAGCAAATGCCTATGCCATGGATCTGAGGGCCACCTTGAGGCCTCCTTGCCACCCAGCCAGCTCTCAAGGCCTGGGCAAGAGACCTGGGCAGTGTGGGCAGGGACTTCTCCAAGATCCTGATTGAAGATTTCAATGTGAAGTAGAACAAGAGGCCCCAGGAAGGCTGGGGAAGAAAGTGACTGGTCACTCTGAGAAGGAAGCCACAGTTGTATCCAAAAGAGGAAACATAAAAAGGAGGCAAGTCACCAGGTCCTCAAAACAGACCCCACATGCTCTGCAGTGCCCAACCCCTGAAACAGGAACCATCTCTTCTGTAAAAAAACACATGACTCTGGGGAAGGACATTAAAAATGTTGAATAGAACACATCTCGACTGATGCTAGTGTTGGTAGAGATGGACCAGGCCATCCCTACCAGTGTCTACTCAGATGCTGGCCACCTTCTTCCTGGTGTTCCCAAATATCCAAGTGCATGGCTAGCCACACATTTGATTCCTCAATTCAGTAAGTTTGTTTTGTTTTTTTTTTTTTTGCTTCTGGCTCATGAGGTCATAATGATGCAAAACACTGGATCCTGGTGTGTGTCTCAACAACTTGCCAGAGGGGCCTCAGGGGGCAAATGCCTGTGCTGTGGATCTGAGGGTTCACCTCCAATGCCTCCTTGCCACTCAGGCAGCTCTCAATGCCTGGACAAGAGGCCTGGGTAGTGTGGGCAGGAACTTCTCCAAAATCCTGGCTGAAAGATTCCATGTGAAGGAGCAGAGAGCAGGGCAACTGTCAGGGGCCTAGAAAGGCTTCTGGGAAGACAGTGACAAGACTCCCTTGCAGGGAGGCTGCAGCTGCTCACCCAAGAGCTAAAGCACCAGGAGGAAGCAAGTCACCAAGCCCTTCAGAACATGTCCCACATGCTCTGTGGTGCCCAAACTCTGAGACAGGAGACAACTTTTCTGAAACAGCACAATTCAGGGTAAGAAGGACATTAAAAAATTCTAACAGGACACATCTCAATCGATGCAGGTGTCAGTAGAGACAGACCAGGCCAAGTCCAGAGAGCAGCTGCTGCAGAACCTCCAAGAAGCAGACGCATGAGCATGTTGGGAGCTGACACTGGGGAGACACTGAAAACTCAGACAGAAGCATGATTCTGCCAGACTGACAGGTACATGGAACAGCTTAGTGGTGTTCTCCATCCTTCAGGCAACTCAGGAACATGGGTGCACTCAGAGGCTTTGAAAGACAGGCTGAAGGCCTTGACCTGCTCCCAGAGGGTGGCCACATTTGTGGGAGCTTGGATTACCATGTGTCTCAACTGTTCTGTGTCTTTGCCTTGCTTATTCTTTTCTTTGACTGTTCTGTGCCTCTCAGTGTGCAGAAACAGGGTAAGATAAGGAACTAAGATAAGGAACCTCTCAGGGCAAAAGTCCTGGTGTGAGCATCTATACGTGCTGGAAACAGTGTGTGCAGAAACAGCAACAGGTGTGATGGTGAGAGCAGCATAAACACTGAGACTTTCCTTGACTCTTCCCTGTTTCCCCACCTTGGCTGGGCCAGCTGGTGACGCCATCCCCCCACACTTGTGCATTACCCGTGTGCCTGCTGCTTGTTTGGCCTTTCTATTTTCTCTTTGATTCTAAATAAAAACGAGGCATCCCTTGGAGCTGGGCTCTGCCTTCATGGTTGGTCCCTCTCGGCTTCTCGCTGTGTCTGCACATTGGACTCAGTAATCCCTTTTCATCCCGTGGCCACGCATCATAAGGAGAAAATTGGTGCCCCATGTGGGGAACCCGGTGAGGGGAACTGGGACTAACAGGGGAAGGACGTCCGACTTCATACCTGTAGGGAACACGGGCAGCAAAGGGCTAGTCTTGCAAGCCTTTGGGGGGCCAAGTTAGGTATTTCATCTGGATGATTTTTTCTTTTCTCTGCTTGTTTAATTGAGTTTTGCTTTTGCTTTTAAAATATTGAGAGAGCGTTGGTTCTTTTTATTCTTCTTCAGATTTATTGTTTGTGTATAGGAAGGCTACTGACTTTTGCGTGTTGATTTTGTATCCTGCCACTTTACTGAACTGATTGATGAGTTGAATTAGTTTTCTGTGGAGTTTTTGGGGTTCTCTATGTATATTATCATATCATCTGCAAATAGTGATAGTTTGACTTCTTCTTTTCCTATTTGGATTCCTTGTATGTCTTTCTCTTGTCTTATTGCTCTGGCTGGGACTTCCAATTATATTGAAAAGCAGTGGTGAGAGTGGACATCCTTGTCTTGTTCCAGGTCTTAATGGAATTGCTTTCAGCTTTTCACCATTGAGAATGATACTGGCTGTTGGCTTGTCATAGATGGCCTTTATGATGTTGAGGTATGTTCCTTGTATCCCAAGAATTTCAAGGGCTTTTATCATGAATGGGTGTTGCACTTTGTCGAAAGCTTTCTCAGCATCTATTGATATTATCATATGGTTTTATATTTTTCTTTTGTTGATGTGTTGGATAACG